GATCATGGTTACTCTTTCATTCTGCTGTAAGTAGAAGCAGGTTGTTTGATTAATTGGTCCTATTCTCCCCTTTCAGAGAAGAACATTTGAACTGAATTCTTATATGTTTAACAAAAACGCATGCAGGTTATTCTGTCCAGTGTCAGTGTGTAGCGCTGTGTTATTGCTTGGTGATGATCAGATTAGATATCATGCTCTATTTTAACTCATTGATATTAGTGTTCATAGGAAGGGATAAGAGTACATTCACACATTTTCTTAATATATGTTCATACAGTAGGCCATCTGCATAGTTTTCCTGCCATGTATCTTCCACATTTATCAGTATGACACATAAACTACAGCAAAATCAATAAAACCAAAGTTTGAATCTGGATTTCTTTTTCTCTCTGCAGACCACAAGTAAGCGTGAACACATCCTATCACACACACACATACACACACACACACATACGCACAAACAGGGTAGATAGTCTACATGACATTTCACTTGCAGAGAGCAGAACTCACCAGCAGATCGATGGAAGCTAGCGTATAATTGGCTGTGAGAAGAGACGAGGTCAACTGATACATCCCATCATTAGTCTCGCTGTTGCCATAGAAACCGATGCCTATGGCAACACTGCACCAGGGGGAAAAAAGAGAAACATGAAAACATTGTGGGTGGGTGTACATGTGAGCGAGAGAGAGGAAGATAGAGGAACAGAAAGCAGAGGCATAAATGTGATGTTTAATTCAGTGTGTATGTACATTTTAAATGAATGTGACACAAGCAGACAGAGCTGGCAAGGATGTGGTGTGTGCACTCTGGATGAATAGTACCAGCAGTGGAGCACAGTGGAAGAAATAAACAGATGACAGAGGGAAAAAATTATTCTTAGCACTAAATGGGTAAGCCTCGGTGTGGACAGTATTCAAAATGTAAAACACAGTGACATGTTTATATATCTTTCTGTTATTCAAATATCAGATTAAGGCTCGGGCCAGATGTTCATCCAATCCCCACAAACCAGAGAGGAATGGTACGACCCAATCTCCCACAAAGTATGTGACCCAGATTAGAAAGCTGGGGGAAAAGGAAGAACGTGTGTCTGCGTTTGTGTGCGTGTGCTTTGCATTTCAAGCTGCCAAATGTGGACACCATCTAATCCAGCTGGATTTTGACATGACATAGTCTGTTTTTGTATTTGTATCCAAAAGGCCACCATCTTTAGGAAAACGTGTCACATGAAACATTTTCAAGACCTGTCGCATAATTTTTTTCTTCCAATCTAGCACATAGAGCTCTTCCACTGAGTGTCAGAGAAGATGCCTGCATTGTGATCCATCAGGGGGAGACACGAGCCACAGTAACCTACAGCCTGTACATGATAACATCATTATGACAACTGAAATCAGATCACAGTACATTATATTCTGTGGTATAACAATTCAATCTCAGTGCGTATAGACACGCAGAAAATGGACTGGAGTATAATAATAAGCAGTGGTGAAGCATTAAATTGCATTATAATTTTATCACAGCACACAGCTGGACCTGTATATTTAGATTTGAAAGGTCTGACAGGCAGCTAAGTTTCCCCTGCAGTGACACGTGCTTCCGCTATATAAGAGCATGCTGGACAGATGTCAAGCAGAATTTCTGTGCAAACTAGAATGGAAACAATGTGCTGACTTGATGACTGCATGGTCACCAGATCTGAGGGGAACAATGGTGGGTAATGATTGTTGTACTGTAGGTGGACAAGCTGAGATCATTCTCACACACACACAGCGCAGTGGTAGGCCTGCGGTTGGTAAACAGCAACATAACATGACCATCAGCTGTCATCCAAGCATCCTCTTTTCCACAGTGACGTTGGTGAATGTGTGAGAGAATAAAATGCACATGACAACGGAAAAGGTGACCGCTTGTGATTCACAGCCTTGTTGTTACTGTTTCACCAAAAAGCACTGGTGAAAAGCAACTAAATATATTTACTCAAAGATAGTAATGAAGCATACATTAGGAGGCACTTGTACTTTACTAGAGTATTCTATTTGAGATTTCTATTTAACTCCATCACAGAGAGAAATGGCTCTTTTACTGGCTCATTTACCTCCACTGCAGTTATTTAATGGCTATTGTGTAGTTACATTTTAGTTTTTATCTAAAACAAAAAATAAAAAAAGAAAGAATAAGGTTAAAAAAAAAGTGAAGCTCAAAATGCATCATTAAATATTAAACAAGTTGTTCCTAACTGTCCTGGCTTGTTAGCCTTTACAAAACACACAGTGTCTGCTGTACTCGGTGGCTCTTCTAACATTACAGATGTCTATGAAATGTTAACAGTTGCACAGAATGATTTCCCCTCTACACTTCTGGTTTCATTTATTAAAGGACAGATAAAACAGATTTTGGAAAATAATAATTATCTTTGATTATTATCTGAGATGATCAATAACACTCACATCATTACAGCAAATATCAAGCTATAGCCAGCAGCAGGTAATAAAATAAAATAAAAAATATATATATAATTGTTAATTAGTTAGTTTTAGAGGTCCTAGTAAGGTAGTAATTTGTTACATTTGCACAGAGCAAGCTTTCCTCACTTCCTGTTTTTAAGCTAAGCTAATCTAAGCTAACGGCTGCAGGCTAGTGTTTACCATGAAGACAAAAAAAGAGTGGTATCAATCTTCTCATCTGCAGTAAAACAAATGAGCATATCTCTCCAAATCTGAAGCTATTCATTTAAAATTAAAGTTTCAGGCTCAAAAAGGTTGTTTGCCCAATACTTCACAAAAAACAAATAATAAAGAAAACTCCAAAAAGTGAATATAAATTTGCATAGCACCTTGTTCTTTCAAGTATTTACTAACTAAATAACCATCTTACAATTCCCCAAATCATCTTGTGACCTTGCAATGGGCCTGACCCCCATGTTGGGACCTATAGCTGCTAAATATAAACAATCTAATCATCATTAGTGGAGGAAGTGCTAAAATTATTTACTCAAGTAAAAGTACCAAAACAACAAATGCAACCCTGTATTCAAATTTTTAATTGAGTATATGAAGATGTATTAGTAGTATATCTAAGAGCCATTTGAATGTTGAAACTATTATACTCAGGTGCGTTACTTCAGTAAATATACTTAAATTCAGCCACTACTAATAATATTATATACATAAGCCACACATTTTAATTTAACACTTTAGTTTACTTCTATACTCCTACTTAATTTGATTTTTTTATATTTGTACTTGAGCATTTTTACTTAAGTAAAAGACTGAATACGTCCTCCTCCACCACCAAAAGGCAACGTTTATATGGCCATAAAGTACACAAGCTCTGTGGTTCGTTATGATGTCTGAATCCCTTTTCTCACCAGCACAGCATGACTGCCGCTACAGCCACCCATGTGACACAGCAGATTCCCCGCCCCTTCTTTCCACCATAACCGTGACCTGTGCTGCCATCTTCATCCTCCTCCTCCTCCTCTGATCCCTCGGTCCGGTCACCGCGGTGACAGCAGCAGTAGTGTATGAGGAAAGACAGAATCACCAAGAGGGAGACAACAAGAGCGATGGCTGATAAACTGGACAAAACCAGCAGAGTCTGAAAAAAGGAAGAGGAGGTGAAAAATATCAGTCGGCAGATGAGTCAGTGAATGTGAAAAATTCCACTTTAATTCCATTTTTACAAGTGCAGAAGAGCATTTTGAGGGCAAAATACCAACTAATCCTGTTAAATTCCATTGCTTGTCATATTATTCCACCCCCATTAGCAGCAGGAAATGCTGATTAATAAGGTGTTAGAATATAAACTGTGTGCATAAAAGTAAAATCAAGGATACAGATACACACTGCATGCACAGATATATTAAAGACAGGACACAGTTAATTTGGGGTGATTCTTACTTATAGGTCCCTGATGTGTTTGTGCACCAGTGAATATTAATGTAACTAAGCCAGTTCAGGCTGTTTTTCATCAAGCTCTGTGTCATAAAGTTAACATTACTACATTACATTTTGCTCCAACACATATCAAAACTATTATCATTCAACCATCTGCTCGTCTGTCACTCCCCATTGCTCCACCTTCCCTCCACATCACCTCTTGTTCTCTGAAGCCCCTCCTCATTGCTCCACTCCACCCGTCCCTCTTTCCTCACGTTTTTCCTCATTCTCACTCTCTTTTACCCCCCTCTCTTTCTTTCTATCCACACCAGTGAATCTCTATTAATAATCTGTGACCTACTTAAATACATTCACTGCTGCTCTCTCTCACTCCCACTCTCGCTCGCTTTGCTTTCCCTCCCTCTGCCCGGTCTTCTGTTCAGCAGCCTCCTCGCATTAGTCATTCCCTCTCTCTCGTTCTCTCTTTCTTGGAGCACTTTCAGTCTCTTTTGTCTTTCTGTTCTGCAGGATAATTTGCCCCCCACCCCCACACTGCACCACAGAAAAGTCACAAATGCACAGTGAGACACAGTCAGCTCGAATGTTTGTGTGAGAGTCTGTTGACAGAAAGTAATGAATTCTTGCCATTTGCAGCTAAAACTAGACAGTTCTGAACTATGCAGATAACTGCAACTGCAGAAACCTGCAAGAGGACTCACACCATGTTTCTCGTGCACTCCTTGAGTCCAAACTCTATAAAATATCTCAAATCTGCATGCACAGAAGCAGAGGTGCAAAGGACAGTTCCAATGAGCAACTAAAGCAAGGTAGAAAATTGAATTTAGACATGAGTTTAGGGGTTCTTGGAGAGGTCTAGTGCCATCCTCCCACCAATAATTAAGTCAATAAATTGGAATGAAAAAGTGTTTTAAAGGACTGCTTGCATTCATTGTAGCTCTGCAGACTGCTGCTGTAGTCATGGATTTATGGAGCAATTTACAGTGTGATGTAGAGCAAATTGCCCATCATTCAGCTACTTAATTATAGTGCAGTACTCTCTTACATTTATAACTACAATTGAGGTAGCAAGGCTGTAATTATTATGCATTGTGGCACCTCAGGCTGGACAGAGTCAGTACAGCATGTGACTACAGTGTTGTATGAGGGCTGGTGGCAGGTGTCTGTTACCTGCTGGTACTCCCAGCTATCAGGCACAAAGATGTTGTCCCTCATCTGCATGGTGAAGTCCAGCCGGGGGAGGGCGTGACACACTTTCACCCACAGTGAAGGGGTATAGCTGGGCACCGTTGTCATGGCAGCCATTTTCTACTGTCACTGGTCCCCTCCTCCACCCTGTTGGAGGGATAAGAGGGGTCAGAACAATCAGGACATGGAAAAGAAGAGAGGGTAAGGAGTGGTGAGGGCAGAGCTGAGAGGACAGAGAGGTCACTATGTCCGACCTCCATCCCTTAGCCACAGTTACATGAAACTAGCTCTCAGGAGTGTAAACCAGGTCAAACACTTCACTCACAGTGGCAGTGAAGTGTGTTGTTGAGTTTTGTGCTTCACCTGTAATAGTTCACCTGAGGAACAGTTTGGCTTCCTCATGGAAGATTAAGCACAAGACTGGATGACTAAAGCCAACTGCCACATGAATTAACATAAATATCAGCTCTACTTGTCTCTTCTTTTAAATTGTGCATGTGATTTATTTAGAGCTGAAACAATTAGGTGATTCTGTCATCTCACAGCAAGAAGGTTCCAGGTCCATGTCCCGGCCGACCCGGGTCCTCTCTCTGCAAAGTTTGCATGTTCTCCCTGTGCCTGAGTGGGTTCTCTCCGGGTGCTCCGGCTTCCTCCCACAGTCCAAAGACATGCAGCTCAGGTTGATTGGTGACTCTAAATTGCCCGCAGGAGTGAGTGGGGGTGTGTGAAGTTGTGTCTGTCTCTAAGTGTCAGCCCTGGGACAGACTGGCGACCTCTCCAGTGTGTACCCTGCCTCTCACCCAATGTTGGGATTGGCTCCAGCCCCCCAGCGACCCTCTTCAGGATAAGTGGTATAGATGATGGCTGACTGACAATTAGGTGATGATTCACCTAACTGCTGAAAATTAAACAGTGACTTTGGTAATAAACCAATCAACTAAGTCAGTTAATCAAGCAAATTTAAAAAAAAAAAACACTAGTTAGAGCTTTTCAAATGTTAAAAATAGCAGATTTTCTGTGTTTTATATGATCTTAAACTGAATATCTTCAGCATTTGGACTGGAGGCCAAAAACAAAATATTTAAAGACGTAACCTTTGGATGCTGAGCTTTTTTCCCCAGTTTTTTGACAACACAAACAATTTATATGCGAATAAAAAAAAATCAACAGGTTCAGTGATAATAAACCATTAGCCATGGCTCAAGGTGACATTACATTACATTATATGCCAAAATTTGGTTGCCATTTAGGAAGTCTATATAAAGAGGTCTTCCTAGCAGAGTATATAGGAGGTAACATGAAGACCATGCCATAAAAATGCATGTACTTGATTCCTTTATCAAGCACTTTTTAGTGCTCAGTATCTCTTGCTGAAGCCTGTCAAGATGGAGAAAGTAAAATAAAGACAAAGGGCAAATCTAGAATCCTTATTTCTGTGTGTCGCTCTCATCCCCTGTGAGAGAGCTGAGGGGTAACAGAGGGTGAGCCGCAGCCTGGTAGGCCTCTGATAGTGAATGCCCAGATTAAGAGACTATCAGAGCTGCACTGTTTTAGAAAGGAGCAGTCAAAAGAGACAAGCACAGAGAGAACCATTCACAACAATGCTGATTAAATATAAAGGGTTGTACAGCTCGGCTCAATGATGATAATAATGGCAGACACAATTCTGCATTTGAGCATAACAGGATCCAGTAATGTCAGATATATTGTGAATTACAGGCCTGTGTTGACTTTTATTGTGTTTTGATGCAGCTGTTATTTATTCACTAATAAATTAATAAGCACACTATTCTACACTAGTAAGTCTTTGTACTGTCCCCACCGATTCAAGCTTATGAGCCACTTCACATAACTGTTTTAAATACTGTGCATGATAAAGTTTAGATGTAGCCACATGTCACACTCAATGCCACACCATTTCACCATTCAGATTTGGGGCGGTTATGGCCCAGAACCAGTTAACTGCTCACCCACAGGCCAGACAGGGCTGCTCTAAGCCCATTACAATAAGCCTGTTCACCTTAATGGTTGCAGCAGCCCAACTGTCACAAATCAAATCATTGCCAGCAGTCCATTTCCCTTATTAAAACTGTGCTCAACATAATAGTTCACACAGTGCGAGAGCTACATCCATCCACCGCACACCAGCAGTGTAAATGACTGTGCACTGTACTCTGGTGGTATATTTGCATGCACTGCTTAATGAGTGAATTTAAATTAGATATATTCTAGGAACTGTGAAGCCTGTGTGTGAGGTACATTTATCAGACTTTGGAGAAGGTAAAAGCTTTTTGAGAGGCGTAATAATCAAGTAAAGGAAAAACCCCACGATCAAAGCAAAACAAGTCGATCTGTTGAGGTTACCACCACTGAGGAAGTAGGCCAATATAGAAAGGTATTTTCTTTAATGAATGACAACACTGTAATAATATTGATTTGCACGCTGAGCAAATAAGAGGTGAGACAAGCAGAATGCGCCATATATAAAACCCATTATCAAACAGTTACCAGATTATAAGTGATCCCTCTCATTCTACCCAAAGACAGACATTATAGATGCATATGAACCACCAGAAATGTGTATAGCAAGTCTTTTCTGTCAAATGTGATCAGAATGCTAAATGCTTAGTTTTCTGGTAGCCCCCTTTTTATTTTAGTAATTATTCATTTATTTTTAGATTACTTTTATATTTCTGTTGTAAAATCTTGTGTTTTCATCTGTACGTGCTGTTGTCTTGTACTGATCATGGCCAGTGATGGAAAGTAACTAAGTACATTTATTCAAGTCGTGCACTTTGTTACAATTTTGAGGTATCTGTACTTTACTTGAGTATTTTCTGTCTCTGCTACTTACAGTATACTTTGACTTCACTATATTTTGGAGACAAATATAATTTACTCCACGACATTTAATTTAATTTATAACTTTAGTTACAAGTTACTTTTCGGAACCAGATTAATACAAAAAAATACAGTATAAGATTTTATTGATCCCTGGTGTGAAATTGACAAGCTACTCAGCAGTAATTAAAATTAAAATCATGTAAGGTGGATAAAACTAGCTCCCCCTTCACCAGCTGCAACATTAAACGTGATGTACACAATCATGGATCAGTAATTACAATAGAATAATATGTATACATTATATTAAATGTGCCATTCTGCATATTTGAGTGCTTTAATTTTGTTTTGATGCTAATACCGTTGTATTTTTACTTACGTGACATTTTGAATGCAGGATTTTTACTTGTAACAGTATTTTTACACTGTAGTGTGGTTATCTTTATTATTATGATATCACCTCTTACACAACTAATTCAAGATATATGACTAATGAAATACAAAGTAGTGACAGCTACAGGGTTATAGTTCAGCTAGGATTCCCCTGCAACCCAAAAAGTTACTGAAGCATCATAATGAGGTGCTGATGAGTGTAAGGAGGTTAGGGGGTGGAGGGGTTCGCAGTCCTGGAGCAGCAGTTACTCAGCAGCTGTCAGAGACTGGAAGCCTCAATTTGACGTGAGCCTTTTATCATCCCTGCTACTATTGCATAACCGAAGGCAAATAAATGTGATTTGGAGCTTAGTTGGTGGAATAGAGAGAAAAAAGGAGAGGTGAGGAGAGACACGGTGAAGAAAACCACCAACCTTCATCCAACTGTGAGCTCTTAAGAAGAAACACATAGCAGAATAACTCTGTTTTGCTTTGTCTGAGCTCAGAGAATCAGTTACATGAGACTCCATCATGTCTGAATATAAAGAAAAGGGCCATTTTGTGAGGCTCCTAATGAAGCTGGAGCATCTCTGCCAGCTGAAATTAGGATCATCTTTAGCACAGGAAACTCATCTTCACCTTCATCTTTTTATGTGAATACAGCTCTTTAAAGTAAAGGATATAAAAAATATAGCTCTTTGGCTGGTGAAGTGATGTATGTTGTCAGTTTGCCTCATAAAACCTGTTATATTTCACATTACAGCCTGAGTAGTCCTATAATAGCCTTTTAACAGCAACATTAATGCCAGTAATTCATGAGCAGGCATTACAGCCTCACAACATCCTTTGGGAAAAGTAATTAATACCTTTTACCTTTGTCTGCTTTATAAAGCCACAGGAACAGAAGCCTTTCTCTTTACATTCATCTGCACAATTAAGGTTCAGCTCTGATAATAAACGTTGAATGAATGAATGAGTGCAGCTGGCCAAAGCTGAGTGAGTACAACTCATAGCCAGTAACTCAGAGTAAATCTGTGCTTTGATGTGTACAAGAGTCCAGCATGACAGGTTTATAGTGATCAAATGCTTCCACACTACTGACCAAATTGAAATTACAGAGCAAAACATTATCTTGCCGGGGTTTTTTTTTTTTTAAGCATTTAGAGAGAAGGTATGACAGATGAAACTCTAATTGCAAACCATTACAGCATCATATATCAGCTCAATATCTTATCCTAAAAATGTGCATGGGAGAGGATTCAGCCATTAGGTGTGATACTTGGAAAGCTGTGCATGTATCTATTCTGGGACTACAGTGTGATGGTTTCATGAAGAGCCATTAAACATATTTAAAAAGACACAAATGGTTCCAAATTAGCACTGTGTAACATGCCTTTACATTATCAGTTGACAACAACAATGAAGCCATCATTGGCAAGAGAGAGATCGGTCTCTTACCTCTGTTGGTTGTGCTGGGAGGTTTCTTTCTCCTTCTGCCTCTTCTCTTTGCCTGTGTCCGTGAAATATTTACCCAATCAAAGAGGTATACTGCCGGCCATCAGTGCTTGATGCTCTTGAAAAAACATCATCCTGAAAAAATGGTTTGGAGACATGGCAAAAATATGTAAACATGAGGGGCGGGGAAACAAAGGAAAGGAGGGAGAAATAAGCCAGTAATTCTTGCAGTTATTGAAATATTAAATAGCCAATAATTGTACGCTTGTCTGGTGACAGTGGAGAGGTGCTTGTGTTGATGGATGTGAGAGGAGCTGTGAGAGGAGTGAGCGAGAGTTAGTGAGAGAGAGCATGCATGAGAGAGCGCGAGGGATTGAGATTGAGGAGACACCCCTGAGGGACTCTTTATCGTTGCATTGTAGCCCTTTGTAGCTTAATGCCCAAGCAACCTCACAACACGACGGTGACACGATATTGCCCAAAGATAATTAATCTGTTAACGGGGGATTAGTGGGATCTAACCCCGCATTCACTTCATACTGAGACACCAGAGACACGCTTCTAATGCTGAGTTCCGCCAACATCCACGCGCACTCCCATCAACCTGACCAATCTCTGCTCAGACTAACAGACTGAACCTTGAGGCTTACTGACAGAAAGAGTAACGATGCACAAGAGCCAACTAGGTGCACTAAACAACAGCAAACCACTCACATGTTAGATGCAAAACAGTGACCTCTGGCCAATGACAGCACTATGAAGCAGTGTTGAGAACTAATGTGAGGCAGATAAAATGAGAGTGAGATGAATAAGCATAATATGAGAGGATGAGATGCAGTGTGCAGGAAAAGAACATAAAACACTGAGGGGGGAAAAACCGTGGGTTTCCGGGGAGTGATGCTGGGGGGGGGAATAATGAATAGAGGGGGAAAGAAGCATGCAATGGATTTGTAAGTAAAACCAGTTTTCAGCAGAGGTTGCAGAGCAGCATCAACACTGGCTCCATGACAAGAAAGCAGAGGAGAACATGTAACATGACAGAAGTGATGAGAGTACTGATGGGGGTGTTATTTGGGCATTGCAAATAAAGATGTAATAAAGTAACAAATAAAGACAGAGTAAAAAGAGTTCTTCTATGTGTGGTGGCCACTGGTGAAAGGGGGGTAGAGGCAAGTGAACAAATAGGGAGGGGGTGGCATTAGTTTTTCTGTGTCACTGAAAGAGAGTGGGGGAAGGGAAGCAGGGAGATAATACGAGCGAGAGAGCAAACAGTAGACAGCCAGAGAGCATACTCAAGTGCCTCACATGGCCTATGTAAAGTGTATGTGTATCTGGACAAGGGATATGAAGACAGAAAATTTATGTGGGCTATGTGGATCGCTTCCTCGGTGTGCTGGAGCGTCCCTTTTGTGAGTTCAACTGGGACACCAACCCCAGTGACTGTGATTACTCTGTTGAGCTAGCCCTGCCCAGGCACAAGATCCAGTACTTCACCTACAGAGGGCATCGCGTCTGGGACCGCCACAGCCGTGTTTGGCTCCACTGGTTATGTATGCAAGAGTTGTTCATGGGGCATTAACAAAGACTCTGTGTGTCTGTATGTTAGACCACAGCAGCAGAACAGCATCCAGGCCATCCCTCACTGCACTTATAAAATATCACCACTCACAGGATTTTAAATAACCAAATCAGTTTTTAATGTCCATGACAATCTAGTGGTCATAATTGATTGTTAAAAACATACAAAGTCATTGTTCCTGTGATCAGTCCATACAATAGTCATGTAAAACATAATAAATCATAGAATGAAGTGC